TCCCACCCCGCTGCGCACCTGCCCCTCTGCGCCACCGGGGGGCCCCAGCCTGCCCCGGCCACTCGCCCCGCCAGCCCGGGGGCCGCTTCGGAGGGACCCGGCTTTCAGCGCCCGCTGGGATCCGTGCGCCCCCCTTCCCGTGCGCACTCGGGAAACTTAGGAACGGCCCGGAGAGGAAACGTGTGAGTCATGGCAGAAGAACAAGGGGCGCTGGAAACAGAAACATTCCAAGAAAGTCCCAGCGGCCAGGGAGCTAAACTGTCCCGCAACGGGCTCCCGGGCGGCCACGCGTGGTGAAGCTGCGACTCCCCGGTAGCCCAGCGACCAGGGCCGACGTATCCAGTAGGCACAGTGCCTGGGCCCCGCGATCCTTTTAGGGGCCCACGAAAATGTTTTAATTTCTTTTAAAATCAGAAGGAAAAAAAACCTTTTAGGGTCGAAGAAAGGCTACGTCTGCATCGCGGCTTCTTGCGGGAGTAATATGCAAATGAGGCTAAGCGTGGAATATCGCCCAGCCTCATTTGCATACCTAATGAGCCACCATTTTTTTCAGAAGAGGCTCTTGCGCAAGAAAAACCCTCGGCTGCGTCTAGATTGCACCCTCTTTTCGTAAAAGGGATGCAAATTAGACGTATCGCAATAGCTAATGAAGCGGGGATTTAAATCTCCCCCGCTTCATTAGCATAAAAATGGCTGCCGCTTTTTTTTTGCACGGGGCTTTGTAGCGCCAGTCTAGACACGGATCTTTCAGAAAATGAAGCCTTTTCCAAAAGGCCCTCTTAAAATAAGGGATAAGGGAGCTTTCAGAAAAGGCTTTATTTTCCGAAAGATCCGCGTCTAGACTGGCGCTTTTTTCCGGCAAAGCTCCGTGCTGAGGGATGCAATCTAGACATAGCCCCCTTGCGCAACGCCGTTACACCTATTACTTGACAGGAAGAACGGCGTTGCGCAAAAGGGTTTTTCTTGCGCAAGGAGGGGCAGTGTAGACGCTTCTTGCGCAAGAGCCTCCTCTGAAAAAAATGGTGGCTCATTAGGTATGCAAATGAGGCTGGCCGATAGTCCACGCTTAGCCTCATTTGCATATTACTCATGCAAGAAGCCGCGAGTGTAGACA